AAAATAAAATAAAATAAAATAAAATAAAATAAAATAAAATAAAATAAAATAAAACTATTAAAAAATTTACTTGTTTTTGAAGTTTATTTATTTATTTTTGAAAGAGAGAAAGAGCGCCCATGCATGCACATGGGGAGGGGCAGAGAGAGAATCCCAAGCAGGCTCCACGCTGTCAGTGTGGATCCTGAACCAGGGCTCAAACTCACAAACCCATGAGATCATGATCTGAGCTGAAACCAAGAGTCAGATGCTTGAGCGACTGAGCCACACATGCCCCATATGTGTGTGTGTGTGTGTGTGTGTGTTTTTAAATGACTGTGCACCAGGAACATTGCTTGCTGCAACCCATTACATGGACGGTAGTGGGTTGCAACCCACTACATGGGACAGGTTTGTTTATTTTATTTCCAAAGACACTGGTGTCAAGAAATGTTGGTTTGGTTGAAACATTTAGTTGATATTTATAGGTGACACATTTCTCTAATATATCCACTTTGAAACCATTTATAACCATTATCTCTCACCTTGGGATATGGAAATAGCCTTCTAATGATTTCCATGCCTTCCTTATTTTTAATGCTAATGTGCTCTCCTTCAATCCGAGTTACTGTCCTAAAAATGAAATTTGAACCTCTCATTTTAAAGCCATTTAGAGATGTTTTGCTGAGGATGAAGGTGGCCTTGCTTGCCACATTCTATAAGATTTGCCTGACCAGGACTCTGCCTGACTCTCACCCCAGCCCTTGCATTCTCTCCCCCAATAATATGTGACAGTCACACTGAACTTCCTTGAGTTTCCTGGGTATGCCATGTTTTCTTTAACTCTTCAATCTTAAATAACACATGTTATTTAGTTTGCCGACAGCACCATTTTCTTTCCATCTATCCTTGTCATCCAGTTGCCTCACAGAGATCCAAGATCCAAGACAGTTGTCAAATGTGGCTAGGTATGGCTGGGAAACTAAGGAGAGAGTGACTGTCTGTGTTTACAGATGATGGTTAGATTTCATCCTTAAGTGACAAGTGACGTGTGAAAATAGCTCACGGTCACTTTTCCTAAATGTAGCAGGCAGAAATTATGGGACTCAATTATTGAATAAGTTGATCAATAAAGAACATTTCTTTTCCTGTTTTAAAGATAATATTTCTGAAGCAATAATCCAAAACAAACAAAAAAAAAGGTTATCACTCTTAAGCACTTCTGGAGACAAATACTTCAAGAGTGAAAATAATGAGATCAAAGAAGGAAGAGGTCTTCTGGGCTCTGGTAGCTAAGGCAGAGGTCCTGGTGGGACCAGGGCATGAACTGTTTTCTTTGTTGCCTGTTCCCCTACCCAAAGATGGCTAGTAATTAAGAAGTCCCTGCTTCATACTTCCTAGGGGATTTGTCCCAGGGAGGTTTGAAATTTACTTTGTTTGTTATTACTGTCTTCCCCCACCATGTAGTTTCCACTGGGACCCACTGTCCCGCAGGCCCAGGAAGTCAGAATGAGAGAAGTGAGAAAGGACAGCGTAGACTCAGGCGATGACTACAATCTGAATCTCTATGAATTTATAATGAATAAAAGAGCGAGGGGTCTTGGGCCAAAGCCCTGAAGTCTCCTTGAGACATACGTGATAAGTTAGGCTGGAGGGTATATGTCTTAGGCTTCTTCCAACCTTAGCTTTCATATTACTGAGGTTTTATGATGTGACTCCATGGGATTGTTCTTCAGGAAGTCTAAAAATTAAGAAAACCTGCTCAACATTCTAGAAATAGCTTGATTAGTATCACCAGATTCCATCTCTTTATTTAAAATAGTATCCATAAGTATTTCACACCAGAGTCCTCTATGTTTCACAAAGAGTTTCCTCAAAAGAGATTTCATTTTATAGTAGCTTTGTGAGGTAGTCACGGAGAAGGCGGTATTGGCATTTTAAAGGTGAAGTAAGTAGAATGTGAGGGGTAGGTAAAGTTCATATGGCTCTTCAATGGCAGCATTTGTAAGTAATATCTGACTGAGTTGGACTCCTAATCAGGTATTTTATACAATAGATGGACCCTACTTGTTTCTCAGAGAAAGGAATTCCTGAAGAGTCAGAGATGGATCCTCCCCCCACTAATATGTAGTAACAGATCTTTCCTGTGTCCAAGTGTGAAAACACATGCATATGCCTGTTTTAGCCCCATGACCTTGGTGAACAGCCTGCAGTGAGTGCACTCTTCTCTCTCTTCAGGGTTAGGAGATGTTTTTCTCATCCTGAAATGCTCTTGGTTTTTCTTGTCAATCCTGACTCACACTGTGAGAAGGGTGTCTGGAGGAGACCAGAAACTAGAGCCAAGAGATTGGAAATTATCCTCATTCTTTTTGCTTTTCCATGATCTCTCAACTTCCACTTCCATCTCCTTTCTTCCTGCATCAATACTGATATTTTGTGGGGCAAATATCTGATTTTTCTGTGTGGGGTAAATCTTAAGGAAAAAAATGATAGCACTGTTGTTTGGGTAGATGAGTGTAAGCCATATAGCAGGATATCTTGAGATGGGGTAATATTGTGACCCGGGGGAGGAATTCTGGACAGTCTGTAGTGCCGTATCTGAAAATCAATACGATAGATTTAGATAAGGGAGCTATGATTTGGAAGGCCTCGAGGTCAGTGAATGTTTCAACCTCCACTATTTTCGGTGAATGCTGAAACAAATAAGAAATCCCTTGGGTTGTCATAAATTTCTTTCCCTTCCTTCCTCCCTTCCTTTCGTTTCTGTCTGTCTCTGTCTCTGTCTCTCTTTTGTCACATTGTTCTAGATGCTAGTGTTTGGCTGTGAACAAGATAGAACCTCCCCCTATCCTTAAAGTCTAGCAAAGAGAAAATAATCACTATTTAATGGTCTGGAGGGTGAATTAGTAGGTGACAGGATGGAATGAAGTGGAGACAGCATGTGTCAGGGAATGGAAAATATGATGTCATATGGTGGGTGACAGCAGGATGCCTTTGAGAAAATGAGAAATACTTGGTATAGCTGGAGTGGAGAGAGGGCTAGGCATGAGCTAATTGATCTGATGAAACAGGGTCTTGTGGGTCATGTAAACCGGTTTGGACTTTATGTTAATGGAAAGAGGAAACTCTTCAATTAGAATAGTGACACAAGCAGGTTTGACTTATAAAAAGAATGATTCTGGATAATGTCAATGGGATGGAAGGGAGTGAAGGTAAACGTGGAGAGACCAGACTTGTTGTGATGGTTCAGTTGAGGGAAATGACCTGAATGGTGGCTGTGGGATATGTAGCCCACATACGAGAAGTGTATGTACGTGGGATATGTATACGAGAAGTGAGAAGAAAGGGAGACTGGTAACATACAGTAAATGCATGAGGACGAAGAGAGGAAGGAGTCAAGGACGTCTCTCGGGTTTGACTTGAGTACCTTGTAGGCGGTACTGTCAGTCACTGAACTAGAGCTACTGGGAGTGGAGCCCCTCTGGGTCAAGGAAGACAGTAAACTAAATTTCACAAAGATTGGTTTCAGAGTAACAGTGAGCCATGCAGGAAGATGGCCATCAGAGAGCTAACCACCCAGGTCTATAGCCCAGATGAGCTATGTGGGCTGGATAAATACACTTGGGATTCACTGTCATATTTAGGGGAGGTGTAGGAGGATTCTGAGGATCACCAATATTCAAACGATGACTGAACAGGAGACGTTCTCTAAGGACTCTGTGAAGGCATTCCAAGGGAGATAGGGGAAATTTGAAACTGAGGTGTCACCACAGCCAAGAGATGGGAGAGTTTTAAGAAGGAAGAAGTGACGATTAGTTTTAAATGTGATATGTTATCCGATTTAGAGACTTGGAGGCCATTGGAGGCTTGTATTTTCAGTAGAGTCAGCTGCCACCTGTGCCTATATTCTCACTCATCCACCATTTGACAATAAGCCACTTGCAATGGAAATATATTTATTTCTTATACTTGGATAATATATATATATTATATATGGATATATATATATATATAGATATATATATGGATAATATAATATAATAGAATGACAGAGAGGAACCAAACTGTCATCTCAGAGTTCCTCCTTCTGGGCCTGCCCATCGAACCAGAGCAGTGGAATCTGTTCTGTGCTCTGTTCCTGGCTGTGTATGTTACCACCGTCCTGGGGAACCTTCTCATCGTCGTCCTCATTCGCCTGGACTCCCACCTCCACGTGCCCATGTATTTGTTTCTTAGCAATTAATCCTTCTCTGACCTCTGCTTCTCCTCTGTCACAATGCCCAAACTGCTGCAGAACATGCAGAGCCAGGTCCCGCCCCTCCCCTATGCCAGCTGCCTGGCCCAGATGTATTGTTGTTTTTTGGAGTTCTTGAGAGCTTCCTCATTGTTGTCATGGCCTATGGTCGCTATGTGGCCATCTGTTTTCCTCTGCACTACACCACCATCATGAGCCCCAAGCTCTGTCTCTCCTTGGTGGTAGTCCTGGGTGCTGACTACTGCCCATGCCATGTTGCACACCCTGCTCATGGCCAAGCTGTCCTTCTGTGCCGACAACATAATCCCCCGCTTTTTCTGTGATATGTCTGCTCTGCTGAAGCTGGCCTGCTCTGGCACTCGAATCAATGAGTTGGTGATATTTATCATGGGAGGGCTCGTTCTCATCATCCCATTCCTACTCATCATCATGTCTTATGCACGGATTGTGTCCTCCATCCTCAGGGTCCCTTCTGCCAGGGGCGTCCTCAAGGCCTTCTCCACCTGTGGCTCCCACCTCTCCGTGCTGTCTCTCTTCTATGGGACAGTTATTGGTCTCTACTTGTGTCCATCAGCTAATAATTCTGCTGTTAAGGAGACTGTCTTGGCCATGATGTACACTGTGGTCACCCCCGTGCTGAATCCCTTCATCCAAAGTCTGAGGAACAGAGACATGAAGGGAGCCCTGGGAAGAGTCTTTTGGAAAAAGAAAGTATCTTTCTCTCTAAAATGGTAACAATTTGGGTTTTTACATTATTTAATTCAGTGGGTATAGTAATGTTGATAATGGAATATGACTCTAAATCAGTGTTTTTTCTTCATTAATTTTAAAGCTATCAAATTTTCTGTTCAGATAAAAACCCTATGCTAAAGGCAAATATGAAAATGTGGTAACTACTTAGCTGCTTTCAGGTAGAGTTGGGGGCAGGAAACCAGTTTGATGTGAATCCATATTTCCCTTTTGCCAGGTGGAATTGAAGTTTGAAAATAAGACTTATATACCTTTGTGCAAAACATCTATTACTCATTTCAATTCAGAAATTGTCTTCTTCCAACATCACTGTCATCATTGCTTTTCTTCCTGCTCAAAAATCCTCAGTGATGCACTCAAGTGAAGAAAGAATAAAATCCAACCTTTCTCACAGAACACAGAGAATCCTGGAGTTCCCAACTTCTCTATACACCTCACTCTCCACTATGAATAAAAGCACTTCTTATTTCCTTCTCTCCATCCATATGCTCACCTCATTCTATCCTTTGATTTTAATTTTATTTTTTGAGCCAGATCAGAAAAATTGTTCTTTACAAAAGAGAATAAGTAGCAAATGCTTGTTGAGTGCTTTTGAATGTGTCGGGCACTTTTCCAATCTATTAGTCTACCACCTCTATGATGCTGGTCCTATGGTCATCCTCACTCTATAGGTAAAATGATAGAAAGGTTAATTTACTGCCCAACATCACATAAGAAGTTAAGATTGGAACCCAGGCAGTTTGGTGTGTAACCCAAGATCCTCATGACTACATTATACTGCATCTTGAAACTGCCAAACTGTACTCCCTCCATTGTAGTGGTGCATTCTGTCCAGTTCTAGTCATTTGTCAGTAGATCATGCTTTCACATATTTCTTTCATATCTTCATTTTTCTGATTGAATTGTGATATAATCATAAAGTATAGAACAAGAATTGTAAGCCCATATTCCAGTGGCCAAGCAGGCAATGTACATGAGTGTTAAGTAAGCCAGACGCTTACCTCAAGGATGCTTGGGTGGCTCAGTTGGTTAAGCATCCGAGTCTTGATTTTCGCTCAGGTCATGATCTCATGGTTTGTGAGTTTGGGCCCTGCCTCAGGCTCCGTGCTGACAATGGAGAGCCTGCTTGGGATTCTCTCTCTCTCCCTCTCTCTCTCTCTTACCCTCTCACATGTGCACACACACACTCTCTCTAAATAAATAAATAAATAAATAATCAACTGCAGAAATATGATCAAAGATTTTTTATTTTATTAATATATGGAATATGCCTCTATCATAGCTCAAAAATATATGCCACTGGAGATGATATTTTAACTTTGATATTGAATAGATTATAAATGAAAATAGAAATACTTAATTATTAAATACATTATTGTATTTTGTAACTCCTTTGATTTGGAAGCAAAACCTGGCATCTTTTCTTCTGACCAAGATGTCAGTGTGAAGTCCTTTGTTTTATCTTGAATTGTTTAGTAGAGAATTTAGGATTGGGTCCATTAACTGGGAGTGATATTTAGATTTTTTTTTCCTGTTTAATAATACAAGATCTGTTCACAACCACATGCACTTTGAATATGGATCAAATCTTTGCACAAACATTTATATAATTAGGATCACTTTTCTGGAGGCATAAGTAGAATTCTAATATTCCAATGTTGTCATAATATTTTTCAGTATTATATTGCACAGTGTTCCATTAACTTGAATTTTTGCTCTTCATTTAGTGTATTAATTGGGAAAGGTAAACTAATATGTTCATATAACATATAATGTTATTTTATTGTCATAAAATTGGGAATAAATGAACATTTTACAAGAACTCATCATTCAGCTCCTTAATTTTGTATATGTAGAGTGGTCATTATTTTCATTCCTGTAATGTATTTTAACTATGATGAGTAGTTTGCATTATTCTTTGCCAAATTATGTTTTCAAAGTACAGTTTTTTCAAAAGGAATCAGTCAGTTGAATAATATATTTGTGCAATTATTTGTGACTGTATTTGCAGAGAAGTATTCACAATGTATCCAGACATGATTTGCATATCAAGATAACCCCATGTATTGAATCCAATCTTCACAAGTGATAGGAGAGGTTTTTAAAAAATTGTTGTGTAACATGAGTAACTCATTTTCTTTAAACATTTCCAAAACCTTTTTTGGTCCCATGTCTGACCTCTACATAGTGCCAAAGGCTACCATATTGTTTAGTCAAAAAAAATTTTTTTTTCAACGTTTATTTATTTTTGGGACAGAGAGAGACAGAGCATGAACAGGGGAGGGGCAGAGAGAGAGAGAGGGAGACACAGAATCGGAAACAGGCTCCAGGCTCTGAGCCATCCGCCCAGAGCCCGACGCGGGGCTCGAACTCACGGACCGCTAGATCGTGACCTGGCTGAAGTCGGACGCTTAACCGACTGCGCCACCCAGGCGCCCCATTTAGTCAAATTTTAAAGTGGAGCACTGGCCAGCTGGTTCAATTCATGGGAACGTATTCAGTTTATGATATAATTACTATTCTATTAAGTCTTTTAGTTTTGAAATTTTAGCATTGAAAAATATTATAATAAATGACTCACGTTAGGTGTCATGGAAAATATTGTCACTTTGGATTTATTTTTTTTAATTTTATTTATTTATTTTAAGTAATCTCTACACCCAACGTGAGGCTCAAACTCACAACCCTGAGACCAAGAGTCACATACTCTACCAACTGAGCCAGCCAGACACCCTGGGTTTAATTTTTAAAAACAAGTTTGATATTATCACTAATACTATCAGAGTGCAGTTTGTAGTAGACTTACTAATTTTGACCAGCTAACATTAAAATTTTGAAGTTTTTTTCCCCTCTAATAAATATATAACTAATTTCTTGATATTGTGTCAAATAGGGAATCTTTTCCAAAGTTTCTTTGGAAGGATCAAACCTTTTATCAACATCACAAATAAATATAGTGAATTCAGTGGTATTATTAATGTTTATATTCTCATGTGGCAAAGCACGAATGCTGCTTTCTGTTTGAAGCACATAATTTTTGCTAAATCCCAAAGACCATCATTTACTACTCAAAATCTCTAAAAAGTGTGAAGCCCAATTATTTCATTGAATACAACAGCATTGCACAATATCATTGTTGATTTTATAATCATATTGAAAAATGAATGAAAAACTTCAGTCTTCTTTTTGCTTCTTAAACTTTTCATATCATAACTTTTTTTCTACACTGATCATTGTAAGATTCATTTAATGTAAAATAGGTTTGACACAGGTGCTCTTTGCTTGCTAATTAAACGTGTTGGGATACAGTATATTCCAGAAAGAAACACTCGTGTTTTTCCCCCCAAAATACAATTATTTTCCCATTTTTGGTATCTTCAGTGAATCCAGAAAATATTCCTTTCTTCTGAGGAAAGCAGTGCCAAGAAGGCAATGATACATGCTGACGAACTGGAGAGTTTGTGCCGTGTCTGAAAGGACAAAGTGCTACCAAGCACAGGAGGTTGCTTTTGGGTGGGAATGTAAGCCCAGGACCACAAATGCTCCCAGCTGTTCGGCCCCATGTCTGACCTCTGTTATTATAGATGCCCGACATTTTGTGTATCCAATTTATTAAGCAAAGCATTGTCCAATTCTTAGGAGCACATTCTGTTAAGCATAATTATTAAACTATTAACTATAGATGTGGATTTTTATGACAACCTTTCAACTTCTAGTGTTATGTCTTATAGGTAGCATATAGTTGGGAATTTTATTTTATCCATTCAGAACATTGTATATCTTTTAGTTGGTGAGTTTAATCCATTTACATGGATTCCACAGCATGGTGGCAATATGATACCGTGGCCACATAAGTTGAAGGTTCTTATTTGCAAAATTCTGGTATTAGTGTTAGTGTTACCTTATTTATTTTGAAGGCTTTTTTGATCAGGGGATCTTGAGTTACACATACGTGCCTTTCCTTCACCACGGATACATAAACATTCTGAGCTGGAGCTATGTCCGAATCACTCCTGGGTCTCCCATGAAACAATGCCTTGCATGTGGTAGAAAATTCCCAGTCTCCATTTCAGTCTCCAAAATTACCTCATGTCACCTTCTGTAAGGCTTTACCTAGAAGCAGTCTTCCCAGAGCCCCATGCATGTCCTTGTTCCTCAGGCTGTAGATGAAAGGGTTCATCATGGGTGTCACCACAGCATACATCACTGTGGCTACTGAATCCTTCATGGAGTAGGATTGGAGAGGCTGCAGATATACCATACAAAGTGTCCCATAGAAAAGAGAGACTACAGCCAAATGAGAGGCACAGGTGGAGAAGGCTTTGTATTTACTAGAGGCTGAAGGTATTTGGAGGATGGTTCTGACGATACGAATGTAGGATATCATCATGAACCCAAAGGGGGTGAGGAAGATAAAGATGCCTGTGGTAATCAGCACTATGTGAATGATCTGGGTGTTGGAACAGGCCAACCTCAGGAGAACATACATCTCACAGAAGATGTAGTGGATCTTCCGGGAACCACAGAATGTCACCTTGGTCATGAAGAGGGTGAGGGTGAGGCCATAGAGGAGAGAAAGTGACCAACACAAGGTGAGGAGCAAAATACAGAGTGCAGGGCTCATGGCTGTGACATAGTGGAGGGGGCGGCAGATAGCCACATAGCGGTCATAGGCCATCGTAGCCAGGATGAGATTGTCCAGTGTCACCAAGGAGACCAAGAAATAGAGCTGTGTCAGACACCCCGCATAGGAGATGGCTTTGTTCTGGGACTGAAGGTTCACCAACATCTTGGGGATTGTGTTGGTGACAAAGAAAAGGTCGGTGAAGGAGAGGTTGGCCAGGAAGAAGTACATGGGAGTGTGCAAGCGGGGGTCAAAGCTGATGGCCAGGATGATGAGTACATTTCCCACAACTGTGACCAGGTACATGGATAGGAACATCCAGAACAGGACTTGCTGCTGCTCAGGACTCTCTGAAATCCCC